GTCAGTTCCACATCCTCTCTAACTGAACATACATGTTCTAGATAAAGAACTAATTGCTGTCTGGTCTTATGCCGTTACCACAATCACTGCTAGGTTTAAACCCATTTTTATAGCCGCTGTGTTAATTTCATTGAGCATCTTCCTCCTTTTCGCTGACTTTAACCAAACAGATGTCCTTCTTCAAGGAGTGGTTTCCCACATCCAAGGTAAGTAAGATGAAGCTTGGCAGCCCTCAGATTTAAAAAAGTATTCTGGCTGTACTTCGGCCATGACAGATTTGTTTATTCTTCTGGCAGTTCATGGTACTTTACTCTTTGCCAACAACATAACTGAAATGTATCATTTCTTCTATTATCCATTGTCCACCTTTCCCATGCATGTGTAGCAATGGAAAACTCCAAGGTTTGGGTCAGATACACCTTAGCACTCAAAATGACATCTTTGTTTTTATCACTTTGAAGGGGTCTTTTGCAACAGATTTGTCCAATGCAATACGTCATTTGATTCCTTGACTGTTGTCCATGGACATTAATTGTAGATTCAAGTAAAATGAAACCCTGCACAACTTCAATATTTTCTCTCATGTTTATCATGATATTGCTTATTGGTCTAGTTTTCAGGACTTTTGATTCCTTTATGTTGAGGTATAATCAGTATTGAAGACTGAAGTCTTTGAACTTCATGTGTAACTCTTCCAAGTCTTCATCACTTTCAACGAGCAAGGTCATGTTATCTACATACCAAAGGTTGTTAATTAGTCTTACAATATCCCAATGCCCCATTTTTCTAGCTTCTTAGGCTATTTGCTCAACATACAGATTAAATAAGTATGGTAAAAAAAGACATAATCCTTATGCACAATTTTCCTGAGTTTAACCCATGCAAATCTTTTCGTTCTACTTGAATGACTGCCTCTTGGTCTAAATACTAACTCAGATTTCATATGAACACAATTCAGTGTTCTGGAATTCACATTTTTCACCACGTTTTCCATAATTCATGATGACCCCATAGCTGAACAACTCTGCACTATCAATACACCATACATAAACGTCTCTCTAGTGTTCTCTGCTTTCAACAGGCTTGCATCTGATTTCAGCAATGATATCCTCATTTCGTGTTTTCTTCTGCATCTGGCTTGAATTTTTGGTAGTTACCCATCGATGTACTTCTGCAATCGTTTTTATAATTATCCTCAGCAAATTTTAATTGTATGTGATATTAATGAAATTGTTTTGTTACTTTCTGCATTCCACTGGGCTACTTTTTCTTTGGAATGAACATGTATCTGCTCCACTCAGTTGGTCAGGTAGTTGTCATTCATATTTCTTAGCATAGATGAGTGAGCATTTTGATTGCTTGAACCACCTTTAATTGGTATTTTGTCAATTCCTGAAGGCTTGTTTTTCACCAGTGCATTCAGTACAGCTTAGATTTTTTTTTTTTTTTTTCAGTAGCTTCAGTTTTTATCATATACTGCTTCCCGAAATGGTTGAATTTCAAACAATTTTTTTCTGGTAGAGTGACACTATATATCCCTCTTACCTTCTTTCAATGCTTACTGCATTGTTTAATATTTTGTTCATGTTGTTGTTGTGAAGCGCTGTCAAGTTGGTTCTGACTCATAGTAGTAACCCTATATAGGGTTCCTGAAGAGCAGCTTGTGAGCTTGAACTACCAACCTTATGATTCATACCAACTTTCAGTCCAGCATATAAACCCACCGATCCACACCAGGACTCTATTTTGCCCATTTATTGTTGTTGTTAGGTGTCATCGAGTCGGTACCGACTCATGGTGACCCTATGCACAACAGAATGAAACACTGCCTGATTGTGGGCCAACCTCACAATTTTTGCCACGCTTGATCCCATTGATGCTGCCACTTTGCCAATCCATTGTGTTTGGGGTCTTGCTCTTCTTCTCTGACTCTCCATCTTACCAAACATGATAGCCATCTCCAGAGACTGGTCCCTTCTGACAATATGTCCAAGGTATGAGAGATGAAGTTTGGCCATTTTGCCCATGTTGTTGTTGTTGTTAGGTGCTATTGAGTTGGTACCAACTCACAGCGACCTTATGCATAGCAGAACGAAACAGTACCAGATCCCAGGCCAACCTCACTACTGTTGCCACGCTTGAGTCCATCGATGCTGCCACTTGGCCAATCCATCTTCTTGGGGTCTTCTTTTTCCCTGATCCTCCACCTTACCAAACATGATATCCTTCTCCAGCAACTGGTCCCTCCTGACAATATGCCCGAAGTATGAGAGATGAAGTTTGGCCATCTTGGCCTCCAAGGAGCACTCTGGCTGCACTTCTTCCGGAAAAGATGTATTGGTTCTTTTGGCAGCCCATGGCACTTTCAATATTCTCCTCCAACACTATAAATCAAAAGCATCAATTCTTCTA